ACCTCCAGCTCCAGTACCTCCAACAGCTCCAGCTCCAGCAGGACCACCGGAAGACTCAGTAGCTCCGGCTCCAGTACCTCCAGCAGCACCCACTCCAGCAGCAGAACCAGCTCCAGCTCCGCCAGTAGCTCCAGCTCCAGTAGCACCACCAGGCCCAGCAGCTCCAGTACCTCCAGTACGAGCACCTCCGGGACCCGTGGCTCCAGCACCCACGGCAGCAGTAGAACCTCCAGCACCGGCAGCACCACCAGCTCCAGCAGCACGGCTCCAGCGCCGAGCAAACCACTCACGCAGCTCCTGTGGAGAGGGGAGCTCCCGCCGGGACAAAGCACCCGAAGGACCGCCAGGTCCAGCACCGGCAGGCTCCGCACCCCCACCCTCAGCAACCCCAGGCACAGTACCCCCAGACCCAGCACCCCCAGGCTCCGCACGCTCAGGCTCAGCACCCCCAGACCCAGCACCCCCAGACTCCGCACGCTCAGGCTCAGCACCCCCAGACCCAGCACCCCCAGGCTCCACACGCTCAGGCTCAGCACCCCCAGAAGTACCAGAGTCAACAGCTACCTCGACAGGCTCGACTGCATCTACCTGGGACACACCTGATGGGGCAGGACCCTGAGGGGGGAGGGGGTCGACCGGGGGGGGACCGGGCGTGAGGAAGAGCGGCGGGGGGTGGAGGGGGGCAGCACGGTATGGGAAGAGACGGAAGTACGGAACCGACTCGTCAAACGTGACGTCCTGGGAGGACAGAACACGACGCGAGGTGGGGTGGTAAAACTGCCAACCAGGCGCGTCAGGGGGAAGCCAAGGAAGACGCAAGGAACAGTACGGGAGGACAGCTTGTCCGCAGACAAGTCACGGACGAAAGCTCGAGATCCCCAGACACGGAACGCAGACGCATCGCCAACCTTCCCCGTCCACCGCAGAGTAGGGGAGGTCTCCGGCATGGAGACCCTGGGCTGAAGGTTGATCTGATGCGCCGCGTACTGAACCGCGAACGGCCACAGAAAATGGGGAGCAGCCGCATGGATCATGGACGTACGAGCGACGTCCATGACCATGCCAATGCGGCGCTCAGCAATCCCATTTTGCTGTGGAGAGGCCGGAAGCGTGAACGTCTGGCGGATGCCCTCCGCACGACAGAAGGCTCGCAGAAGGTCGGAGGAAAACTCTCCACCTCTGTCAGAGTGCAGACGCAGAACAGGAAAGTCCGAGCCGAAACGCTCTCTGAGCTGGCGACGAGCAACGCGGATCCAGTCGATCAACACCTCAGTGACCATATACTTGCGGCGCAAGGGGAAGACTGTGGTGTAACGCGAGTAGTCGTCAACGACCAGCAGGAAGTAACGCTCGTGACCCTGTCCACGGACGCGGGCTGGGCCCCACACGTCCATGTGAAGAGTCTGCAGCGGAGCCTCTGTCGGAGGAAACTCGGAGGAGTGAGGAGCGGCGCGCTGCCGCCCCTCAACGCAGGGAACGCAGGTAGGGGCAGGCCCCGGGGGAAGAGGAGGGAGGGACCGGGGGAGACCAGAGACAAGGACACGGGAGGCCATGCCTCGGAGACGAGGCAAGGAGGGGTGACCAAGTCGGTGGTGCCAGAGGAGGGTCTGGTGGGACAGGAGGCGACACGAGCAGGGGGCAGACTCAGGACCTGACCGAGACGCTGCAGAAAACACCTGACTCGACGCAGCTACCTGACCAGACGCAGCAACCGGTGGAGACTCTGTGGTCAGTCTGTACCGGCTCGACCCCGGACGACGGGTAAACGTGGCCAAGTTGCGGCCCGTCCAAGCAAACGTGCAGTGGGTCACTCGCTGACTCGCAGGAGTGAACTGGTCAACCCCGCCATCCTGAAGGTCAGCACCACTCACCAAGTTCGTAGAGAACGAGGGGAGGTAAAGACCAGACAGGGAGCCTGACGGGGCCGCCGGACACGGGAGGACAGTGGAGTAGCGAGCAAGGACAGGACCCCCAGAGGGGTCTGCCAGGGAGACCGCAACCGGCGGACTGAGCGGCGTAAGGGTGGTGCGGTCTCGAAAGAAGGAGCAGGAAGCACCCGAGTCGAGGGTGAAGGTGTGCAAAACCTGAGCCGACGCGGTACCTGAGAGAGCAGACTCACTAGCACCTGGAGCAGCAGACTCACTAGCACCTAGAGCAGCAGCCTCAATGCCCGGGTCAGGCGGAACACACACGTAACAGTCACCCTCAGCACTAATAGACACAGCATACATGGCAGCAAGAATAGCATCAATATCAAGATCAAAGATAGCTACACCCGACCTGAGCAGATCACCCCAGCGAGGGATCTCAGTGGCGTCAGGGAACTGGGTACGCCAGGCGTCTGTCAGGCGGCCGAAGCAGCGCTGGGTGGCGTGCAGGCCGCCACATTGCTCTCCAGTGCGGTCGCCGGAGCGCAAGACGTAGGTACAGGGACCAGCACCCCCAGACCCCTGGCGCCCTGCGTACCACTCACGAAGCTGCTGGGGCGACGGGGTCTCACGAGAGCGTGGCTGGTGCTGAGGTCCCCGCTGCACAGCTCCGCCTCGACCAGCTCCACCTCCGCCGCCGCCGCCTCCACCCCAACCGCCACCGCCACCGCTGCCGCCACCGCCACCACTGTCTCCACCTCCACCACTGCCACCGAAGCCCCCACCTCTGCCACCACCCCCACCCCCACCCCCTCCTCCGCCTCCACCGCCACTACCGCCTCCCCCGCCACCTCCTCCAGCGCCCTTGCCCCGCTTGCCCTTGCCGCTACGGCGCCTCTCGCTAGGAGCAGACGCAGCGCTGACCGACTCGGTGCCAACAAGGTCGACAGCAGCAGCAGAGGCAACGGAGGGCAAATGAGGAACTGGGGAGCACCCCTCAAAGAAAGGGGTACGGGGGTCACCACGAGAGGCTCCTACAGCGGTAATACTAGTCTCTGCTGCAAGGAGGTGCTCCTCGAGGAGGTCAACGGTGAGTGTGGTAGGGCAAAGAGAGAGGAAGTGGTCCCTGACCGAGCGAAGGGTGTCAGGGAGTCGGGTGACTAGGTAGTAGAGGGTGATGTACATGGGGGGGGGTTCTTGGCGCAGAACTCAGCAGGAAGCGCAGCTCGGTAGCGGGTGTCACTAGTGCGGAGGTGCGTAATGAGGTCAGTGACTGTGGCAAAAGCGGCGAGGTCAGGGAACAGGTAAGGTAGCATGAGGAGGCTAAGCGCAGCAGTGGCAGGGGAAGAGTAGCGTGCAACGACAGCGTCGTACAGAGTCTTAGCACTCTTGTACTGACTAAAGTGCGCGCGCTCAGTAGACGGTAGGTGACTACGCACAGCAAGGCGGGCAGCAGCATCGCGCGTGGTCCACTGTGAGCGAGCAGTACTGTCAGCATCAGCAGCAGGGGCACTAGAGGCGCCAGACGTGAGATCGAACAGTGAGAGACCATCCTTGCTGTCGCACTGTAGGAAAAGCTGCAGATCATCTATCCAGACCTCGAAGTCAACCGCTCGACCCTCAGCATCAAAGGTAAGAACACTGGGACTAGCCATGACAGGAGCAGCAGCAGGCTAGCAGCAGCAGCAATGCGACTCGGCTAAGCGGCTAGGCAAGGCAGTGCGGCTCGGCAGGGCGGGCTGGCTCGGCAGCGCGGCTCGGCGGCGCGGCGCGGCTCGGCAGTGCGGCTCAGCGGTGCTCTTACCAGGGGCGGGGCCGGGGCAGGGCCGGGGGAAGGCCGGGGCAGGGCCGCAGCAGGTCCGGGGCAGGGCTGCGACAAGTCCGGGGGAGGGCCGGGGCAGGGCTGCAACAGGTCCGGGGCACGGCCGGGGCAGGGTTGCGACAGGTCCGGGGCAGGGCCGGGGCAGTGCCGGGGGAGGGTCGGGGCAGGGCCGGGGCAGAGCCGCGACAGGGCCGCAACAGGGCCGGGGCAGGGCCGCGACAGGTCCGGGACAGGGCCGCGACAGGGTCGGGGCAGGGCTGCGACAGGTCCGGAACAGGGCCGCAACAGGGGCGGGGTGAGGGCCGGGGCAGGGCAGAGGCCGGGCCGCGACAGGGCCGCGACGAGCGACGGGGCAGGGCCAGGGCAGCGCCGGGCAACGGGGCGACGGGCAGGGCCGGGCCGGGACAACGGGGCGACGGGCTGGGCCGGGCCGAGGAGACGGGGCGCCGGGCGACAGGGCGACGGGCCGGGCCGCGACGCGGTGGCTTTGGGCGATGGGGCAGGGCCGGGGCGGGTCGCAACGGGGCCTCGAAGGGGGGGGGGCGCTAATGGGCCGCAAAGGGGGGGGCGCGTAGGGCAGGACAGGCCGCTAGGGGGCCGCGAAGATCGAGGGTAGGGCAGAGCGCGAAGCGCGCTTCGGGCAGGTAGGAAAAAAAAAATTTTGACGGTGGGCCCTTAGGAACGGTCCAGCTAGGGAACCCGCTCTATACCATGTGAAGAAACAGGAATGAATGATTGACTAGGAAAATGAGTTGGATACAAATATGAAACCCTAGAAAACTGTACCCCATAGTGTCTACCCCACTACAGCCTAGACAGGCTATGTGATTAATGTTTGACACCACATAGTTTCTAAAACATGGTCACAAAACATCCGATCCACCAATCATGTCACTTGTTCCGCCTCTTGCGCCCTCCTTTATCACCATGCCGCCAATTGCTCTTGGTGCGCCTCCTCTCGCTGCTGCTGTCACTCCCACTGTAATCCTCCTCACTGCTGCTCCCATGCCTTCCCCAGTGCCGCTTTCTCCGCGATGCCTTCTTCTTGTGCTGCTTCGTCTTCCTCCTCCTCGCTGCATCATCTGATTCCTCACTTCCTGTACACCCACTGTCTCGTCTCTTCCTTCTCTTCCTTCGCTTCTCTCCCCCATCAGTCTCTCGTGACCGTTTCTTGCTCCTCGTCTTCTCCCCCTCCTTCCTCCTCCTCCTCCTCTCCCCTCCACCGGACAAAGAGCCTGCACTATCCGAGTCAGAACCCGACGTTGCTGATGATGATGACGACGATGATGTCAGCACGCGCTTCTTCCGCTTCACAGCAGCAACGGCACCTGCTGCCTCCCTCGCTGCACCTGGAGCAGCTGCAGCAGCAGGTGAGCCCCTGCCTTCCCCCACAGCACCACCCCTCGTGCCTCCATGTGCATCACCCATACCGTCTCCACTGCCTCCCCGCTCACTCTGCCCCACAGGTGCCTCACTCGCCCCGCGTCCACCTGCCACATTCTCACCTCCTTCTCTTGCTCGTTCCACCCGCCCTGCTTCAACTGCAACCCCTACACTGCCTGCCATGCCAGCGCCATCACCCCCCTGGCCCCACACACCACCCTCGTGCTCCTTCCCTGCCCTTCCCTTTCCCGCCTTACTCTCCCGCTTCGCACCCTTGCTGCCCTCTCTCTCCTCTCGCCTGCCCTCGCCCCCTGCCCCGCGTCGCACCTCCCCCGGGTCCACCTGCAAGCCCAGCTCCTCGCCCAGCCCCTCCAGGAAGTCACCTGCCTCCAGCCGGGCAAGAGCCCGCGTGGCAGCTTCTGCCGCTGCCACGTCATCAATGCCACCTGGCACTGCGGATGTGGCACGAGCATCGTCGTCGCTGTCTTCATCATCCGAAAAGATTGCCTGGAGCGAAGGGGAACGTGCAGGGTGGCGGGACAGGTGGAGTTGGAGTCACAAACTTGCAGCAGAGGGCAGTAAGGTGACAGGGAAACGGAAGCAGGTGACGTGAGTGTTAAACGGAAGCAGGTGACGTGAGTGTTAAACGGAAGCAGGTGACGTGAGTGTTAAACGGAAGCAGGTGACGTGAGTGTTAAACGGAAGCAGGTGACGTGAGTGTTGAACGGAAGCAGGTGACGTGAGTGTTAAACGGAAGCAGGTGACGTGAGTGTTAAACGGAAGCAGGTGACGTGAGTGTTAAACGGAAGCAGGTGACGTGAGAGTTAAACGGAAGCAGGTGACGTGAGTGTTAAACGGAAGCAGGTGACGTGAGTGTTAAACGGAAGCAGGTGACGTGAGTGTTAAACGGAAGCAGGTGACGTGAGTGTTAAATGGAAGCAGGTGACGTGAGTGTTAAACGGAAGCAGGTGACGTGAGTGTTAAACGGAACACAAAGAGTGACGACTACCAAGAGTGACGACTACCAAGAGTGATGACTACCAAGAGTGACGACTACCAAGAGTGACGACTACCAAGAGTGACGACTACCAAGAGTGACGACTACCAAGAGTGACGACTACCAAGAGTGACGATAACAGAGAAAGAGAAAAAAGGCAAGAGCAGGGGATGGGATATACATGGGCATCGAGGGTGGGGTTTTCACTCGACTCGCTCGAGATGCTCGTTGGGGGTCGAGTGACGAGCCTCCTTTTTTGGCAAAAAAACTCGGCCGAGGCTAGGCGAGTTTTACTCGCCGAGTTTTTTTTGCTCGTCGTGTACTCGGACTTACTGACGAGCATTTTCGGCTACTGGGGGGAGTTTCCCGTGCTCGACGAGTTTTAAAAACTCGTCGTGCATGCAACAATCTCGTCCCGTAACCCAACATGAATAATTGCGAGAATGGGTACAGATCTGAGAAACACATGTGTACCCAACCACCGCAATTTCCACCGCTCGCGAAATTGGCGAGCGGGTGGAATTTGTCGTGCCTTACCCCTAAACCCTGCGATCAAGTCAAAGTGTTCGCGAAGTTATCGCGAAACAGTTTGACGCGAAACATTTTGGGGACAGATCTGAAAACCGTAATTGTTCCCAACCACTTTCCCTGAACTTTCGCCAACCCTAGTCCACTCGAACTAGCAACTAACGGTTGTTTCCATCAACAACTAGCGTCCCTTGTAACTCGTACCTTAGCTTAACGCGCGCCATAGTATTCTCGACATTGACGTGCGAAATAGGGCTGCGACTGGATTTGTGGTGACATTGCACGCACGTGTTCTTCTAAGTTAACGTTGTTACCACGTTTTCACCATTACATTAATGGCGACCCTTTCCTTCCATGTTGATGTTATGGTGGGGCAAAATTTGCAGGCACAGGGTGGCGAGTCGAGCATGACTTGTGCTCGGACGAGCATGGCAAAAAACGACGAGTCACGAGTATGCTTTTTTGGGAAAATTGCTCGTCAGAGTTTTACTCGACTAGGGGCAAAACTCGGTCGAGCAAGGCCATGGACGAGTCGAGTTTTGCTCGACTCGCCACTTTGCCCATGTATAGGATGGGATCATGGGAGAGCAAGCGAGGGGCACCTTGAAGAGGTCCATGGGTCGGTTCTCCACCGCCTCCGCTGCTGCCTGCCCCTCCCCCTCCTCCTCCCACACTCCTGCATTTTCCTCTCTCCCCCGTCCTGTATCATCCTTCCCTCCCCCAATAGCTTCCCTCATGTGTCCCTCCTCGGGCCCTCCCATCCACCCATCACGCTCAGGAGGCATGGCAGGCGCAGCAGGAGGAGGCGCAGGGAGGGAGAGGAGAGGCGAGGGGGCAGCAGTTGGGGCGGGCGTGGAGGAGGGGAGGGTTTGGGGGAAGGAGGTAAGGGTGTCGAGCTGAGAGGGACGGTGGAGAGGGGGGGGAGGGGCCTGTTGTGGAGGGACCAAGGCAAAGGAGAAGAGAAAGGAGAGAGAAGAAAGCCGTGTGAAAAGGTCAACAAGTGGATCGATGTGCTGTGACAGGGTTCACTGCAAAGAATCGAACGAGTGTGCGGTGCAGAGGTGCAGAGGTGCAGCGTGCAAGCAGAGTGAACCATTTGGGCGGCAGGCATGGCAGTGGGACCAGCCGGGCAGAATACACGGGGGGAAGAAGAACGGGAGTGGACGTGTGGGAAGCGGCAGGGAGCAGCGGGGAAATCTGTTTCCTGGTCAGCCCGTAAGGACTTAAACGTATTTTTACATGATACGCAGCATACAAACTTTCAATGAGGTTACATGTATTATGCAAACATATGAGATGCCCAACTAAGCCCACAGGGTGACACGTCCAGCTCACCTTCCCCGCGTACGGGTCAGGCAGCTTGAATCGCTTGCACAGCAGAGGCAGAGGCCTCCATGCCCCCTCCCTCCGCCTCGCCACCACCACTGCTGCCGCCCCTGCCAGTGCTGTGTCTGCTATGGTTGCAGCAGGCAGCGCCGCCTTCTCCGTGCTCATGCCGCCCTTGCCCGCCCGGTCCTCATGCCCACTGCTGTGGAAGCGCGCCGCCATCATTGCTGCCAGCTCAGCCGCCGCCCCGTGCTGCTGGAAGGCCGGTGCGGTGGGGGCAGGGGGAGCAGGGGGAGATGCGGCAGAAGTAAAGGCAGAAGCTGCAGCAGCAGGAGAAGCAGTTGAGGTGGGTGTGGGGTGCGCTGATGGAGGTGGAGCAGGGGCAGGCTGGGTGGAAGGCAACGGCTGCTCGCCCAGCAGCGCGCCCCGACCATCAGGCCCCAGGCGCTCCCCCCCACTGCTCCCCACGGCCTTGCCCGCTGTTGCCCTGCCCTGGGCGGCCCTCTGCCTCTCCGCCAGCTCCCACACGCGCCGTCTGTAGTACGCACTGCCCTCCCCGCCCACCAGGAACGCCAGCCGGGCACTGCCCTCTCCTCCCCCTTCCTCCCTCGCGCTTGCGCCCTGCACAATGCCTTCCCGCGCCCCTTCCCCCACCCCTCCCCCTGCCCGAGACAGCAGCAGCGCCTCCACGTGCGCCCCACAGCGCGCCACCATGGCCGCCACGCCCTCCACCGCCGCCCGCACTGCCACGTCCGCCGGGGGTGGAGCTGGGGGCGGTGCGACTGGGGAGGGCGCTGGTGAGGCGGTGGGGGGTGCGGAGGAGGGGAAGACGTGGTGGGGCGTGAAGGAGGGCGGCACGTGCGGGGGCAGGTACCTGGAGAGAGGGGGGATGGGAGCAAGGTTCAAAAATACGACCGTATTTTTGAAATTGCTCTACGATTTCTCACAGGAGCCTATTATAAGAAACCGTATAAAACGGTAACATCTCAAAAATACGACCGTAATTTTGAACCTTGGATGGGAGGGAGGACGGAAGCACACGTGTGAGAGTATGGTTGGTGGGGAGTGAAGCAGTGTGAGTGGAAGTGAACGGGGTGAACAATGTAGCAATCCTAGAGGAGCTCAGAGAAGAAAAGTTGGTATTCGTTCAAGAGAGCACAAGGCTATACAAGGAAGAAATGGTTGGAGAAGACCCCAATCCTAGCCAATAGGACATCAGGACCAAGTGGACTAGTGGGAGGAAAGACCAATCCAAGCAGCCCTAGTGGGGTGGTGGGCAACCCACCAAAGTTGGTTGCCCTCATCACATGCGGCAATGATGGTTGGACACCCCACTTGACCAACAAGGTTGGGACCAATTCTAGGCTAGGAGATTTGGGTTCACCCCAATTAGGGTGTTTACCCACTTTACACCCGAAACTAGAGCATGCAGGTATAAATATAATCTAACACAGGGGACTTGCAACAAATGCAAGAAACAGTGTGGTGGGCATGGGGTAGGGCACGTGGTGGGCAGGAAGGCATGCAGAAGAGGCAACAGAAGCGACAGCATCACACTTTGCGACGCAGGAAGTGCGGCGAGTGAGGCAAGGGGGAGGAAGAGGTACCATTTGCATTCCTCCAGCGCCACGCGCCCTTCACAGAAGCCCCGCAGCACAGCGGCGCCACTCCCACGGCCCTGCCCCACCCCTCCCATCCACACCATGCCTTGCTGCCTGCGCCTTCCCTGTACCATGAAGCCCCCTCCAGCCAGCACGCGTGGCCCCTCCCCCTCCCCCTCGTCCTCATCCTCCTCCACCTCGTGCAGCTCGCCCGCCGGTATTTCTGGCGCACATGGGGGGGGAGGGCGAGGGGGTGAGCCACTGCGAGTGCCCAAGGAGGGCGCAGTGAAGGAGGAAAACGGGGAAGCTACTCACACGGTAACGTGTGTGCCACCATGTGCAGCCAACCCTTCCCTTGCTCCTTGACCTAATCCCACACACCAAAACACGCTCTCGCTCCTAATCACCCACCAACACCACCACCGCACAGCACCGCACAGCATCTCACCGGAGTCGTAGATGTCCTCATCCTCAGCCCCCGCCTCCTCCAGCGCCCCGATGCCAAACCCCCCCGCCACCCGCCCACTGCCCGCCGCAAACAGCGACTGCCTGCTGCCGCCCGCCATGCGCCGCCCACCCAGAACCGGCTCTCCAACCCTCTCCCCTCCCTCCCTCGCTCCCCCTGCCGTCCTTTGCCTGTGCTCTGCTCCCACTCCCCAGAGAACAGAGAGGCGGGCGAGGCAGGGAGGGGGGAAGGCGGGAAGCAGGGATGAGGGAGTTGTAGTGAGCAATGTGAGTGACGCGGGGAGGAAGAAGAGCTTCAGTGGTCCTTGCACGCATGGCAGACAGTATAGCCAAGGGGACATTCCACATATGGCAGTCACTACAAGCAAGCCCTGCAGACAGTATTGCCAAGGGGACATTCCACATATGGCAGTCACTACAAGCAAGCCCTGCAGACAGTATTGCCAAGGGGACATTGGCAGTCACTACAAGCAAACACTGCAGACAGTATTGCCAAGGGGACATTCCACATATGGCAGTCACTACAAGCAAGCACTGCAGACGGTATTCCCAAGGGGACATTCCACATATGGCAGTCACTACAAGCAAGCACTGCAGACGGTATTCCCAAGGGGACATTCCACATATGGCAGTCACTACAAGCAAGCACTGCAGACAGTATTGCCAAGGGGACATTCCACATATGGCAGTCAGTCACGACGACCCCTCTGCACGCCTCATCACCCCTCTGCACGCCTCACCACCCCTCTGCACGCCTGACCTCGCACATCCTCAGCGCCCTGGAAAGCATCGAACCCCACCCCCCGGGTGTCCCGCTTGGGCGCCCTCAGCTGCGCTGCCACCGCCGCCTCTGCTGCCGCTGCTTCCACCAACGCCCCCCCGTCCTTGCCGCCCCTTGCCCCCCTGCCCTTCCCCACAATCTCCCCTCGACCCTCCCATGTGTCCCCTTCCTCCTCGTCCTCCTCCCCCTCTGCCTCCCCATCCTCGTCTCCTCTCCCCTCCCCTCGCCCTCTTCCTCCCGCTGCCAGCGCCAGCATTGCCCGCCTGCCCTCGCGCTGCACCTTCCTGGAAGCTGCCACCTCGTCCGGCCCCAGCCCCCTGCCCTCTCTCCACCCCATCGTGCGCAGCAGCGCCTTGCCTGGCTTGGGTGGTTGGGGAAGGACGACGGGAGGAGCGGGCAAGGTTGGTGGAGGGGGGAATGTGCAGCGTGTTGGATTAAGGAGAGGGGTTGGAGAGGGGCGGGAAGTGGGAGAGGTGGAAGGAAAGTGGGGGGGGAGGAGGTATGCATGTGCATGGGGCACTGAGGCAATGAGTTGAGACGTGAAGAGCAGAGGACAGACGCACAGGTTGGCTGGGGGACGTGGTACAAGTGGAGTGCACAGGCAGACAGTGAAGGGACAACATTTCCACATTGCACTTCCAGCAGTCAGCAGCCAGTCCAACGGCAACAAGCCACCCCATCCAATCCAACTGTCCCCTCCCTCCCCCTGCCTCCTCCCTCCCTTCCCCCCTTGCCGCACCGATGGAGTCAGCAGCGGGCGCCAGCAGCTCCGCCACGGCCCCTCCGGGAATCACGGAGGGGCGCCGGTCCGCGGCGGGGGCGAGGTGGCGGGCGCGCTCAGCGGCGGTGAACCCGAACGTGTCGAAAGCGCTTTGAGCCGCCACGGCGCCACGCTGCGCGTCGTCGCGCTCGTCGGCGTCCATCAGCGCCTCCACGCGCTGCGGCTGCACCTCCGCCCGCTGCGACCGCGACGAGCGGAACGATGCTGGCTGCCACCCTGGGTTGGATGGTGAGGGGTTGGGGGGCAGATAAAGGAGGGGGTTTGGGATGAAGAGAGGGGGTTTGGGGGTGGAAGGGGAGAGCAGTGGGATGAGTGATGCTGCCGTCGCCCCCTCGGGCGTTGCGTCACCTCGCCCCTCGTGCCGACGAGCGGACCACTAAGGAAGCAGCGAGACGAGCAGGACAGCGGAAGCAAGGGGGACAGCAGGCGAGGGAACAGCCGCATCGGCGCCTACTGGCGCGAGAATCCGAGAGAGAGTCCCAGCGCGCGAAAGGCGCACGCTCGCATGGCGGCAAGGCGTGGAATAACCTTCCCCTGCACCCCTCCTTTTGCTTCCTCTCACCGGTTTTGGGCTCCAAACCTAAGGCAGGTGCAAGTACCTTCCTTGGACCCCACGCTGTTGAAGTACCCCGCGGAAAAGCCCCCCGTGAACGCGCCGTGAAACCGCCGCCTGCCCTCCTCGTCGCGCGCCTCCTGCTGCCACGGCGGCACCGCCTGCTTCGCGCGCCCCTCCGCCACCGCCAGGTGAAGCTTGCGCCCCCCCGCGCCCTCCGCGCGCTCCAACGCGCGCCCGAAGTACACGCAATCCTCGACATCGTTGTCCATCGCTGCGTTCGCGATATAAAGGTATTTAGAAACAATGAGAATTTCCTCTTCCAATCTCAAGTAGAGCTAACGATCAGCTCTAGTCGACCGCCAAGGTAACGCGCTAGATTGCGAGCAAGGGGGCGGGGGCCACTGACGGGCACATGACGCAGGGTGCTCTTTCCTACGCCTAGCTAGTGATGACGAGGCCCTAATCATCTGCGCCTTTGCCGTGCAAGCCTCCATCACGTGCAGAGCACTCAGGGGTTCACCTGCTTTCGGAGATTCGAGGTTGACCAACCGAACTGAACCTAATCGAACCACACAGAAACCACAATTTTCAGTGATTTGGGACAACCAAATACCTCTAAGAGTATTAGTACTTATGTACACTAATAATGCTACCTATATTACTTCGTTTAATACCCGTATTAGGAGCTGCAAGCCCCAAAAAAAACAAAAAAAAACAAAAAAAAAACAAAAACGAATATTGAAAGGGTGCTCTATTATGGATTAGCGATCACTGTTTGTAGGAAAATACAAGTCGTTACTGCAGTCGCACTTTAGCGGGTTCAGTCCCGAAGGGTTCGCGCCAGCTAGTTCGGCTTACAAACCCGACCAAACAACCACGAATCGCCCTGCACTATTCGCCAAACTTCCGAGCCTAGTTTTCCCGTGGTTCTCGCCTAGCTAGGATTTCCCCCTAAATTATCGTCAGTCTTTTGTAATCACAATCTCGCATCTTAGAAATAGAATGGAACGGAATGATTGGATTAGGGTAGGGAGGCAATACAAATAGGAAGCCTAACAAAGTTGTACTCTCTATGGAGTACCTCACTACAGCCTATCACAATAATAACATTTGACATATTGAAAATATAAGGATAAAGAAATATGTTTATGCTGTTAGATTTTACTATAGTCTTATTTATAAGATTCCCAGCCCTCGAATAATTGTACAATTATTGGAGGGCCATAATTATTGGAGTCTAAAATTATTGGAGGTACAATTATTGGTATGGATGGATGGAGGTGGGCAGGGTAGCTGATAACATAAATACCCTGCTGCTGTGTGGTTTCTGATCCTTCCATTGTTCTCAATCCTTTTAGTTGCAAGTTTCCCTTGCTATTCTGTCATACATCGAGGCTTCCGCTACGACGGCACTCTGCCTTTCTAGCATGGTATCAGAGCTACTATAAGGGGCATGCTGCCGAAATTCGGTCAGGAACTTATTATCAACAACGTTTGACAATAATATCAGCAAGTTAGCATATGTACGAGCAACTTTCTGGATCAACGGCATGGCTCGGTTTGATGAGGAAGTTGACGCAGGATACGCGGCGTTTGAAGAGGCCATTATGGCTCAACATGAGCACCTGAAGAACATGATCGCAAGGGCACCACCAACACTTCAAGCGTCATTACGAGTCAAGTTCAACATGCCAAGTCAAGCACAAGACCCATCCACCCGTGAACAGTCACATGCAAGCACTCCACGTACCGAGCAAACCCACGCTTCAAATGCGCATGCTGAAGTTGGAGGTGAAGAGGAGGGAGACGTACCCCGAGGAGGAGAGTCGTCCCAAGGGAGGGACGCATCGTTCCAAGGAGAGGGGAGTTCTCACATCGCACCTCCATCAACCGTGCAAAGGGAAGCAAGCGAGAGGGATGATGAGTACGGGAGTGGAGTGGGTGCAAGGGAACGTGGTGATGGATTTGGCATGGAAAGGAGCATGAGGAGACAGATTGGTGAAGGGAGTGGCAGAGTTGATCAAGTGGGCGTGGAAGGTGTGGGATTTGAGTCCTATACTATTGGTGCTCCCCCACTACGACGTCTTGCCACTAAATCTCACCCCCTTGGAGCTCCCGTCATGGGCAGATCTCACCTTTTTGGAGAAAACATCGTACCTCCTCGTGCGCCGCGTGGTCAAATGGGAGTTGCACCTGCAGGAAGCATGGGACGCACGGGACACGAGATGCAGTCAAGTGGTGTTATGCGACGTGATCGCGTGGAGGTGGTGGAGCAACGCACGCATGGTCAAGACGGTGGAACGCAACGCTCGGTTCAACTGCCACGCCCATCTACCATACATACTCTCTTCGACCCATCTCCACGCGAGTACACGGAGGAAGACAAGGATAGACTGTCACGCAAGATGGTGGGGGCAGCGGTGGACAAGGCGTTCACTACTACTCCATTCGACGGCACCAACTTTCGCGAGTGGGCGCTTCGGTTTCGCATGAACGCGCGCGTGACAAACCTATGGGAATTCTTCGTGATGCTTCAATACCCGGTTACTATGGCCGACGGAAACATGAGAGACGCAATGGAGCGGCTGGAAAATCTGCAAGCGGACTACTCACAACGTGTGACGCTGACGTTTTGGGTTCTACTACATAGCGTGAGCGCAACGATTCAGCTTCAACTGGACGTGTTTCAAGAATCCTACAGCCCAGCGTTTGATGCATGGGAATACCTGATGGAGACATACCAGGCGAAGGATTCGGTGGCAAAGGCGTCTCTCCAAAAGCAATTGGACAACTTGAAGATGGAGAGTCAAGAGAGAGTAGAGGAATATTTCAATCGAGCAACGGCGATTCGTGACAAGCTGGCGTTGGCAGGAAAGATGGTGGATGAGGATTCATTTACCTTGAATCTGATTACTGGACTGCCGCCGCATTGGGAGGAGCTGAGACACTCTGCAATGCTACATGACATCTCGGACAGATACACACTACAACGAATGATGATTTAAGGAACAACGCTACAAAGACCTCATTAGCAAGACCAACCGTGACAAACGTCCCCCTCGCATGGCTGGCCAAGCACGTGGAGAACATTCACCAGCAAAGGAGAGGATCGAGACAAGGGAAAACCAGAATGCGGCGAAGTCAACGGGAGGGCAGCACACGACACTTGTGGAGAAATTCAAGGGCAATGAAGGAAAGGGAGGACACTCAAACCTGGTGTGTTGGTACTGCAAGGAATCTGGCCACCCGTTCTACAAGTGTCCCAAGGCGCCTCCGGGCTGGTCACCACCAGGGTGGGAACCACAAAACAGAGGGAGGACAAACCAGCGCACCTAGAGTAGCCGTTCATCCTCGCCTCGAAGGAGTGAAAGCCCCAAACGTGACAACCAAGCGTCAAAACAGCAAGGGGCAGCCGGGCGAGACAACAAACGTACCGTTACATGTATTGCAACGGTACGGACGTCGCAAGCAACTTTACCGTCAGTCAGAGGATCGATGTGGTTGCTGGACAGTGGATGCAGCCAGTACATGAATTCATAAAAACGCTGGTTTGAGGGTCTAGAGAAGCTGGACGCACCTGTATGTCAGAACATTATAGCTTATACATTTGTGTAGGCTGTAGTGGGGTAGCCCATAAGGGGTACAACCCAATTAGGGTCAGTACTTGTACCCAATTTGCTAGTTCATACATTCTCGTTCGTTAATTTTCACATGGTTTTAGAGCAGGTTCCTTGGGCCCACCACCTGCTACGCTGCGAGTACCCCCTAGGCCCGTCGCTCCTAGCCCGCGACCGGCCCGTACCTAGCCCGCGCTCGGCCCCGTCTCTCGCCCGCGCCCGGCCCGTACCTGGCCCGCGACCGGCCCGTACCTAGCCCGCGCCCGGCCCGTACCTAGCCCGCGATCGGCCTTACCTAGCCCGCGCTCGGCCCCGTTTGTCGCCCGCGCCCGGCCCGTACCTAGCCCGCGACCGGCCCGTACCTAGCCCGCGCCCGGCCCCGTACCTAGCCCGCGCCCCGTCGATGTCCGCGCCCAGCCCGTACCTAGCCCGCGATCGACCCGTACCTAACCCGCGCCCGGAACGTCCCTAGCCCGCGCCCGACCTTGTCTCACGCCTGTGCCCGGCCCCGTACCTAGCCCGCGCCCCGTCGACGCCTGCGGCCGGCCCCGTACCTAGCCCGTGCCCAGCCCCGTACCTAGCCCACGCCCGGCCCCGTACCCAGCTCGCGCCCCGTCGACGCCCGCGCCCGGCCCTGTACCTAGCCCGCGCCCGGCCCCGTTCCTAGCCCAGCGCCAGGCCCCGTACCTAGCCCGCGCCCCGTCAATGCCCGCGCCCGGCCCCGTACCTAGCCCGCGCCCGGCCCCGTTACTAGCCCGCGCCCGACCCTGTTCCTAGCCCGCGCCCGTCGACGCCCGCGCCCGGCCCCTGTACCTAGCCCGCGCCCGGCCCCGTTCCTCGCCCAGCGCCCGGCCCTGTACCTAGCCCGCGCCCGGCCCCGTTCCTAGCCCAGCGCCCGGCCCCGTACCTAGCCCCGCGCCCGGCCCCGTCACTAGCCCGCGCCCGGCCCCGTTCCTAGCCCGCGCCCGTCTACGCCCGCGCCCGACCCCTGTACCTAGCCCAGCGCCCGGCCCCGTTCCTAGCCCAGCGCCCGGCCCTGTTCCTAGCCCAGCGCCCGGCCCCGTACCTAGCCCTGCGCCCGGCCCCGTCCCCTGCCCGCGCCAGGCCCTGTACCTAGCCCGTGCCCGACCCAGTCGGCCCCTTCCCCCACTGTCACTGCTGCTACTGCTACAGCTGCTACTGCTGCTACTGCTGCTACTGCTGCTCCTACAACAGCTGCTACTGCTGCTGCTACTGATGCTCCTGCTATTCTGCGTGCTGCACAGCTATGGCTTCGCTTCGGGTTCTCGCGTTTGATCATGAGGGCAGACCGGTTCAGTTTGACACGTGGCTAGACGACCTGCAGCTGTACCTACTAAGCGATTCTAAGGACAGTGTCTCGCTGTTTGACCTAGTGTCAGGCGCTGCTACTGCCCCTCCCGCCACAGCTGACAGCTCGACTCGCTCACAGTGGCTTACTTGTGACGCTGCTGCCCGCTTAGCCATTCGCAACCACCTGCCATTAACTGAATGTGCTCACTTCGGACAGCACAGGACAGCGCAGGCACTGTACGACGCTGTAGTCGCTCGCTACTCCTCCCCTGCCACTGCTGCTCTAGGCCGCCTTCTTCTGCCCTACCTGTTCCCCGAGCTGTCCGCCTTTGCCACAGTCG